TTTTCCATGTCAGCTTTCTCCTTCAGTAATTTCCTCTTCCGTTTTTTGAGTGCAGCCTGAAAATTACAAGCAAAACTAGACTTTTTCGAAGTCATCACGAACCGAAATTGCTTACCTTAATCATCTTCGAAAAGAATGTAACACACTTAGGTGAAGACGGTGATTAGCAACTGCTAGAAGCAAATAAGCTCAGAAGAGGAGTAACTCGCACTGGTACGCTTGACTCGTGACTGAATCCAAAAACACTGGGATTTTCATAAAGATAGTCCTCCTAAACTCAGTGGATATCCGCAAAATTCAGCAGAACTTCTGGTGCTTAGAAATAATAATTTATATGGCAAAAGAATAAAATTCCAATAAAAATTAGAAAATTTCACAAAATCAAGATCTCTTTTTTTCCACTTTCTTAATCTGTACGGTACCTTTTCACAGCTTAGGAGTGGGAACGTTCAGGAGGGGATAGTCCAGCAGCATATAGCAAAGGCATTTCATAATAGGTCAAGTTGACTGAAAAAAACGTTGAGCTGTTAAATCTTTTCAGAAGACAAAACGAGCGTCAGGAACACCAGCACGAGAAGTTATAGCATTTGTTAAAGCTACCAGTAAAAGGTGCCAACCAATTTATAGCTGGAGAACTGGTCAGAACTAATCAAAGTAATTTAGCAAAAAGTAAAAAAAAAAAATCCGACCTTCTCTTCCGCCTTAGCAGTTGCTAGCTGTTGCTCGATCTCCGCCATACGTTCTTCTCTGGAAAACCAGGATCAAACAACCATAAAAAGAAACGGTAAAAAGCGAGCACTCAAGAAAATAATCAATATAACCTACTCAGGATCAATCACGGGTGCGGCGCTTTTTCCTGTTGCTTCACCACCCTCCAAAGCTTCTTCCTCGCTAATTTCCTTAAGAATGTTTCGCCTCCACTGTAGAATTTGCCGTAGCTCTCTGACACCACACACTTTAATATCTTCGAGACAAAATTTCACTTCATCTGTTGTCAGCTCAGAGTTGGCCAACTTCTCATCATCCAGAACAATCTAGAAAGGGTAGGCTTCATTTTCAAAAATAAACATTAATTTTTATAACTAGTTCTTTGATGGCATAAAAGTACTTGGATTATACGACTAAAGTAACGGGATACGGAAAATGAAGACACACCGAATTACTTTTTCTTCACAGAAAAAAAAGGGAATTTGCAATCCCCTCTTTCGAAAGTTGCTTAGATGAGTCATCTGGAATTTTATGATAAAATTCTGCATATATTAACCTTATTTGCAGAAGCCAATAAATCAAAATAATTGGAACTCCGAATGAAATCTGTAGCACTAATAGTTTTATAGAGCAAAACTGTTTCGCTGTCATAACCAGCGGCTTGCACCTTCTTCGTTTTCTTCCGTGTTTGTAAAATTAGTTGACTGAAAACAGAAGTTAAAAAATTTACAAAAACAGATTATCAGACCCCGCTGCACCTACTTAGATTTTTTCCGTATTTGTAAAATTTCCTTCTATGGGCACTCTTCAAAATTTCAGGTCATTCGGCAAAATTCATAACTATCCCCTTTCTTCTTCCCTGCCTCCTATCTGCCTCTCTCGTCACAAAACGATAAAGAGATAAATAAATTTACTAACGGATTCGAGGTGATCGACTGTTGTGCTGCTTCTGCGAATACTTTTTTGGGATCCAGAAGATCAGGATCGAGCTTTTCCGGTTTCTGGTATTTCTCACAGACCACGAAAATCTCAGCAGATTCCAAGCGTGAAGCAGATGGTTTCCAGACATGAACCTGCAATCGAGTGGAATTCATCTTACTTCTTACAATTTGTACTGGGCAATTTATAAAAATTCAAAAAATCTTGCAAAGTTGTGCTCGCTTCATTATTTTTTCATCGGACCGCTACTAGGGATGAATGCAAAGCCAGGCTTAGATTGAACAAGATGAAGAAGTCAAAAATGAAGCAATGAGGCCTCCCTCCCACGCTCTCGCTGATGGTCATTAAACTGAGACTGGCAAGGCTCCTGGGAGGGCACGGCGACAGGGGGTACCGAACAGATTTTTGCACAGTACCTAAGCCACTGGGAAAGACTCCTCGCCTCTCCTCTTCCCTCCCCCCGTGGATCCGCCGATGCTGCTCAGGCTACTAGTACGGGTATATCAGATGTCAGTGATGCCGCTGAGACGCTCCCAATAGCCAGACATAGTTATGCTAAGCCTTCGGATTCTAAGCCGCATAACACCGGCAAGTCTCCGCTGCATTTTTAAAAAATATCGGTAATTGAAAGCCATTCG